CATAAAAATCTGTTATTCCATTGCTCCTCTTAATGTAATTGTAGCCTTATAAACCCTCTTCTCTTTTATAAACTTTGTGCTTACGCTACTTATTTGACAGACGTGTGGCCCGCCGATCTTTATAAATTTATGGATGTGGCCTTCGGCTATGAAAAGTTTGAAGAAACCTGATCTAACAGCTGTCGCACCTTCGCTGTAGATTTGATTCTAGCTTGGTAATACTGCTAGTTATCCAGATAGTTGGGAATAAAAATACTGATATAAAAATTATTGCACTATACATCTTCAACAAACACGTAAATAAAGGAGGCAAACGACGCCAGGATAAAATTTATAACAGTTAGGTATTAAATATTTCAAATAAATCCATACTTAAAACTAATTCATTTTTTATAATAGTCTATATTTAGCAACTTAGGATTTCAGAATATGCAAGCGACGCCGCATTAAGAGCACTCTAGCCTTTTAGAGGCTCACCAGCGGCCGAGCGGTAAAGACGCTGAACACTGGTAGTTCGGTCCGAGGTTCGAATCCCGCGAACGGGCTGGCTGCATGGGCGTTTTCGTGGTTTTCCCCATGTGTAACGTGTATACGAGCCAGTTTCCCTTAGAAAGTCCTCCACGAAAGGCATCCCTCCCCTTAGGCAGATAGCCCCAGTGTGCTTTGCCATAATTAAATACACCACACCTAGCCTTTTAGAGGTCCCAAGCACTTAAATGATGTTGGGTGTCTCCATATATATTTACACCTGTATTTTATTCCCATTCCTTCTCGTTCGGTCTTGATTTAACTTCATCATACATTCCATACAAAATTTGTGGTGCCACCTTTCCTTAAGTCCCTAAGTATCTTTTTATAGTGCCCCCTTTAATCGATACTTTAAGTACGAGATTATTTTGCTTAATGTTTATACCAGCTCTGAATGCAAGCCTTTCTTCATTCCGGCCAAAATGAAAATTTTCATTTGAATTCCAAAGCCTTCGATTTAAATATTCAAATTTACATGAAGTTCGTTCAAACTAAACAGTTGGCAACCAAATATTTATTGCAGCGAAGACAAACTCATGACCTGTTGAACTCCCTTGTTGTAATCAGAATCATGAGAAGAGAAAATGGTTACAATTGTCGTTGGCAAAGACTTGAGGCACCAAAATGAAAATATAACTTTTTACCTCAATACCATTCCAGTTGTATAAATATACAATAGGGTTTCGTAGATAATCTTCACCATAACTTTTCCGTAGTCTTCACTGGGATGCAAATTAGCTGGTATAGTATTTAAATCGAGGGTTTTGAATGTTTTAGGTGCAGAGCTTTGGCAGCGTCACCTGCAGTTTATGTTTTGTCACGCAGCTCTGATAGTGAAAACCCGGATTTAGCCATTCTGCTAGCCGACGTCAAAAAGCGCCATTTAAATAGCGAGCCAGTTTAAGTAGGCCAATTTTTGAAGTCTCCGACTATGTTACGTTTAATTTGAAACTTTTTTATTTTAATTAACCGCAAGTGAAAGTTTATTTGTACGCACAAGTTATGTTTTGTGTTCATTTAAAGATTTAATGAAAAAAAAAAAAAAAGTTATTTGCGACCGTTGTCATAATACCTTTAGATAGAGCGATATCTCGCTTTCAGAAGGACTTTCATTTAATTTCTAAACGATTAGTACCTTATAATTTTTATTTGGAAATCACAACTCCTCTTCTTCTGTCACTAATAATATGTCTTTCGGCCCCATGAATTTCACATGTTACTAATTTAGCAGATACGGTAGTCACAAGCGTTCGTGTTTTGCCAGGGATTTGGGATAGGCTCATCAGTTTCAAGAACTGCCTTTTTTAGCCTTCATACGAAATGACAACACTCTAGTGCCCAATTTTTATGTAATTTTATTCAAATCCAGACAAAAATATAAAAATCTTAAGATTATGGCATTCCTTACTCCGTACTTATCATTTTATCCGTATAAAACATGAAGAATGTAATACTTACGGCTAATTAAATGTTGATTATAAATCCATTACAATTTCGATAAAATACAAAATAAACAAATAAAAATAGAATGGCTGATTAATATATTATAACAAAAAGAAAAAGCAACAAATTTCATTCATCTTAATCCATAAGTTCAGCGAGTTTGCATTCATTCTGTGGTACCCCTTAAAAAATTGTTATTACATCAAAATTTTGTTAATGATATAACAGATTCTTACTCGCAGAGAAAACATATAAATCTTATATAGTTAAAAAAGTACTGCGTAAATTTTAAAGTCGCTTTTGTGATATTCTTCTACATGCGGCGGTCCTAGATGCGTTCAGGATGGAGGAACGTTATAAATTTGTTTGATGAAGAGGGAAATCTACTATGGGAATCTTTGGGATGTTAGAAAAGAAAAAAGAAACGTGAAACCTAGCCCTCTTTTTTTTCCCTCATCAAGCTTTTAAAAAATGTCTCTCCTACCCCCCCCTCCCGTCAGGCAAGAAAAGAAATAGTTTGTAAGGCGAAAATAAGAGCTCAGATGCTAATTTATGTTATTTTAAGGTTTATGATACATGTTCTTTGTAAAATTTTGTTGCACTTCATTCCCAATTACAGAAAATTTAATATGTTAATGACCAATAAGAAAAGCCATTAGGCTTTTCGATGATATTCACTAGGAGCTTTTCAGGTGGTATCAAGCATAAGTGTAATGTGAATAAAGCAACAAGTGCGAAGTGTGGCATTAACTGGCACTCGCACGTACAGTGTCTTCAGATAAAGGTTTGAGAGTTTTAAGGCATTTTAATGCCAAAAAGATCACATAATTCATCATAAAACTTACACATGCTGTGTACATACATCACTTCCTGACCAAATAATGTGTTAAAAGAAGGCAGATCCAAGAACAAAATTCATGTATGTGTTACCGTGAAAGACCGAAATTGGAGAATGTCGACTTTCACCGGAGAATATCAACATTCACCAAATACGTCGGTGGAAGACCGAATATTTCACTACATTCTTGTATATTCGGACCCTCACCGTGTTATTGACCATCACAGCTCTGGTGAAAGTCAAAGAGCGAGATGGTCATAAGTGTCATGCAGTTTAAGTTGTTGCCATAATAAGATTTGATGGTGTTGGTGTTTTTTATTGGCAAAGCACACGAGGGCTATAGCTAAGGGGAGGATGCCTTTCGTGGAGGACTTTCTAAGGGGAACTGGCTCGTTCACGTTACACAGGGGAAACCACGAAACGCCATGAAGCCATAAATAAGATTTGAATCCCATAATTAGTAAGATTTTTATTTGTTATTTCTCGAACGTACTGTATAATTAGTAAGTTTTAACTTCATTATTTCCTTCTCATTTTGAATGTATTGGTGTTTAGGTTCTCATGTTCTTAAGTTCTTATTTCAAGTTCAAGTGCGTTTATTCGCGACTGAATTACGGAAGAAGAAAAATTATTTGATGTCAACATTCACCATTAGTACATGGTGAATGTCGACATTGCCCGGTGTAAGTAAGAAAGGAGTTTGGAAATATTCGGACATACACCAAGAGGAATATGGGTGACATTCACCGGTGAAAGTCGACATTCTCCAGATTTCGGTGTTTCACCGTAACATATGCACCACGAATAGGTCATGATGTTTTCTCAACAATAATTATTATATTATAAAACATATTTACAAATCATGGATAAGTGTTAGAATTCAAGTAAACGAGATTAAAAAAAAAACTGAAAACAATGAAAAGTTATCTCCGGTACCTAAAACAAGCGTAGTTAAAATGCCAAGAAAAGGAAAACATGACGAATCCTATTTCGAATTTGGTTTTACTTCTTGTAATTATGATGGAATTGAAAAGCCATTATGCTTAATTTGTAAAGAAGTTTTGGCTACAAACAGAAGGAAACCACTAAATTAAACCGGCATCTCAATACAAAGCATGATGCGCACTGTAAGGAACCTAAAGAATATTTGAACGACTTTTGAAATCATCGAATCAGCAAAAATTTGGCTTTGAGAACTTTGTTACTGCGAAAGAAAAGTATTTACTTGCGTCTTATGTAGCATTCTATTTACCTGCGAAAAATGAAAATGCCTATTGAATTGGAGAAAATCTAATATTGCCAGCTGCTATTAAGATGTCCGAAATAGTTCATGGGAAAAGTACGCGGATGAAATCTGTAAATTTCCATTATCCCATGATTCTGTTTCCAAGTGAATTTCGAAAATTAATAAAGATCAACATCAGCAGCTAATAACTAGGCTGAAAATGAGTCCTAAGGAATCCAGTTGGAGGTATCAACTGATATTACCAACTTGGCTCAAATTTATATGTATTTTTGAAGGATGTATTCATTAGGAATATTTGTTTTGTCGATTTTTGGATTGACACAGAAGAAGAGAGGACATTTCTGTAAAAGTTAATGAATTTTTCATTGAAGAAAGTTTGCAATAGAAAACTTGTGTTGGCATTTGTGCAGGCGGTGCTAAAGCGATAGTCGGTAAAAAAAAAATTGGATTTCTAGCAAAGGTAAGGAAATTGGTAGCGAATATATCACGTTTAATCATTGCATTATACATCGAGAGGCCCTGGTGGCCAAAAAAATATCAGCGGAGTTAAATGTTGTGCTTCAGGATAGTGTTAAAGTAGTTAGCTTTAATAAAAATCGTGCTCTGAACAGTCGGTTGTTTTCAAATCTTTGTAAAGACATGGGTTCTGAATACAAAAGCTTATTTATTACAAGCAGAGGTAAGGTGGTTTCCAAAAAGCGCCACAGTTTAAAAAGGTTATTAAAACTAAAAGATTAAAGTTCTTCTCTTTCTAAACAAACAGTAACCTGATTTTGCGAATTTACTCTATAATAAGTTTTGTGGCTACAAAAACTATGTTATTTGAGTGACATATTTGAAAAACTATATGAACTAATTTCTCGCTTCAAGGAAAAAGTTTCAACACATTCATATTCAAATCAAATAATTGATGCTTTTGTTAGGAATATCACCATATGGAGAAACATGGTGGAAAAGGGTTTGCTAGAAATGTTTGTCTCAACAAGTGAATTTTTAAGTGAAAATGATGAAACAGATGATCAAAAAGATGAGTTGTTAAAAGTGATAAATGAGCATTTTCAGTGTCTTAAGAAAAACTTTGAGAAATATTTCCCTTCAAATTTTAGTGACGAAGAACTAATATGGATTGTGAAACCATTCGGAATTAATGTGGAAAATATTATTCATTTTCCATTAAAATCACAACAAGAACTTGCCGAGTTATCAAATAATTCGGGTTTGAAAATTGACTGTATTAGCAAGTCCTTAGAAGATTTTTGGCTAGGAGTCGCAAAAGAATTTCCAACGATTTCTGGAAACTGCCATAAACTTTCTTTTATCCTTTTCTACGACTTATTTGTGTGAAACGACATTTTCATCTTTAACTGCCATAAAATCAGAGTGTCTATCAAATGTACGGAATATTGAAGAAGTGCTTCGTCCTGCGGTGCCTACTATTTTGCCAAGATTTGATAATATAATTAAAAATAAACAGGCACATCCTTCCCATTGATACTTAATCCTCGCATATGAGCTATTAGAAGTAAGGGGGTTTTCTTAGTAATGACCTATTAAGTAGCTATACTTAATGCACAAACTAAAATAAATGTTTGAATTAACCCAAGTAATTGAATTTATTTTTTATTATTGTATTATATTTTTAATTTTGTTGCTTATTTAAAATTTTTACGTTGTTCTATTTTTTAAAGTTAAAAATTAATGATCTGAAACTTGCAATAGTATATAACAGTACAAGTTAGGAAGCTGACAGTTTCATTCACGCGTATTTCGGATTTGCGCAATGCTTATGTGGTCCTACAAAGTTTGCGTAATTCATGAGCTTTGCTGTAATCAAATAGGCCAAACCAGAAAATATGCATCATTTTTTATTTTTTCGGCAAATTCTGAACAGTTTTTTTTTTTTTTTTCTTCAAGTTAATATGTATAAAAAATTCCGAAATTCAACCAAACATCTCTTTCGTTCATTTCGCCATTCAGTTTGCATGGCACTAGATATTCTTTCACCGTATGCTGATGTTGCAGGAATTGAAAACGCATGCGAACTGACAGGGAAGACGAAGTGACTGCTAAGCAGTGACTTTGGATTTGGATACTATAGATTATTCAATAGACTGGCTTTTGTTGGCATTTTCAAATGTGACTAAAATTACGTCTCAATGGGCTGGTCTGTCATTATGAGTCCTGAGCTGTGGTTCCCAAAACGAATGGAACTGATGAGCGAAAGGGAGGCACCTGGTCTGTGAGAATATAAAACATCTACAGGTTTAATCCTAGTATCCGGTGAACACGGGATTTGACTACGTTTGGCGACTTTATGATGAGCAGTGAAAACGGGACATATACGATGAGTAGTATTGTACGGGTCATTCCGAAAATATAGTTAACATAGTATTACTATGTATATAGTAATACTATGGTGTAGTATAGATAGACGTTCTTGGGATCATTTTGGTGTTTGGGCGTAATTTTCAAAGTCGCGCCAAGGCTGCACCGTATACTAGGACTTTACCCATCTACATACAAAACAACTCTCTGAAAAGCCAGAGTTTCGAGCGAGTGAAGGAATACAAATTTCATAACACTGTAGAGTATAGTACATATACAGACCATGACTCTAATTGAAAAGTCAGTAAATTAAATATTGCTGAATAAATGCAAAGAAACATGATGAGAATCTTTACGTAAGAGCTTAACGAAACACAGGAACCTCGATAGAAAGGTTGCATGCTGTATGACATCACTGAGCCGCAAATTTTTTAATTTTGAATGAAGACTTGGTCATTTTTCCAAAAAAGAAAAAAAAGTTACAATTATAGGAAAACTGATTAATGAATTGTTCTTTCCAAAAAATATGTTTCACAACCTATCTGTGTAACTAAACATAATTTAAATTTTGTTGTTTAATGAAATGTATATGTGACGGGGGAAACACCGAAATCTGAGAATGTCGACTTTCACCGGTGAATGGTCAACTTCACATAGTCGCTGGTGTAGGTCCCGAAATATTTTCCAAATACTCTTATTCTGACTAAGCGGTTCAATGTCGGACATTCACCATGTACTAATGGTGAATGTTGAACATATAACTATATTTTCTTCTCCGTAATTCAGTCGCTAATAACGCACTTGAGACTTGAAATAGAACTTAATAACATGAGGAACCTAAAACACAATACATCAAATGAGAAAGGAAAATAATAGAAGTTAAAAAACTTACTTAAGTTACGGTACGTTAATGAGAAAATAAATAACAGTAATAAAAAAACTTACTAAATTATGTGATTCAAATCTTATTTATGCAACAACTTAAACTATTATGGCACTTTATAACGTCTCTTTTCGACTTTACCGAGCATATCTGTGATTGTCGACATACCCGTGAGGGTCCGATATACAAGATGTAGTGCAATATTCGATCTTTCACGACGTATTGGTGAATGTTGATATTCTCCGGTGAAAGTCGACATTCTCCAATTTCGGTCTTTCACGGTAACATATACAAATATTTTTTAACAGGGTGATTAAAATTTACTTACCTCTATCTTAACAGCTTTTTAAGAATATATGGATAAAACTGAATGCAAACAAAGTTAAGTATTTAATCGATAAACTTAGTTAAACTTCAAATATTAGCATCTTGGAAGAGAGCTTTCACTGTCATGGCGAACGAAATCGACCAGGAATAGCGCTTGAGGGTAGGCAAAGGTGACCGCAACTGATGCATTTTTTCTATTTCTATATTTCATACTTATTATTTAACTGATTATTCACATAAAAGACACTTTCGAAAGAGTCCTATCCGACTAAGGAGTGATATCCACCTCCTCGAATGCCAAATGGCACCACCTCGAAGGAGCGATATTCACTCTAGTAAAAAGCGGTTCCTTTTACACAAAAACAGGAGTGACCCTTTCTTCGTTCGCTCTTCTTCGATAGTCAGATATCGCCCGATTCGGGTGAAACCACACACATTACAAGTTATATAATAGTGCTCACCCTGATGGTGCGATTTTATATAATTATTGATAGGCAACGAAATTGGTTTTATGTAAACTTTAGCTGAGTATTGTTTAGATATTTGGTTATATATCTCTTGAAAAGAATATTTTACACTACTTTTTAACATGCCTATTGTGATTTAATTATCTGATATATACATTGTTTAGGTTTGCTACCTATGTACTTACTTAAACATTCTTGATGATGATTTCTTTCCCGATCTACGAATATAATATAAAAAATTACATCCATATTAAAATATGGAAATTCGTCGTTGGGTAGAAAATTCTGATATAACACTATCACTTTCTCAAAATATTTTATTTTACAGAAACATGGCTTTTGCTTTATGTGTAGTAAGCATAAAAATAAGAACGCCAATGCACTTAGATTAAAAACTGAATAGCAAGATATTCGCAATGAAAAAAAAGTTTTTGAATAAAAAAATAAGGTTTTCAGGTACTTAAAACTTGAATAAATATTCAGATATTTTCAAAATTTGATGAGAAATGAAAAAAAATGCTTAGTTCATAAAAGAATTTAAAAAACATTTTAGATGATCAAATATAATAGGATATACTTTAAATTTGGTTAAAATTTTAATTAAAAAGCAAATTATGCTATTCACAAGATTTGGCCGTAAATGTAAAAATGTAAGTAAATTTTCATTAATAATACAAAAAATAGAAAACAAAATATTTCGACAATAATTTCTAATAAAATTTGGAATTGTTAGACTCTGATCATATATGTGTCATTAAACCTGTATCAAATTGATAGATAACTCTTAAAGCTATTATCATGCTTTATTTGTGAATTTTGTTACAGTAGTGAGTCTACTAAAATATGCCTAAAAATCGAATAATAATTTTCATATACATTGAAGTAGAACATCGAATTTTATTTCCCTACCTGAAACTTTCAGCTATTTTCCTGTATGAGATTCAAAATATTACCATAAATACTCTCATGCTATTGTTTTTAGCTTCATATATTGCACAAATATTGCAAAAGAAATGTTTCTATTCTTATTGCATATTATGAAGAGCTTAAATTAATTATCCAAATTTGAACAGTCTAACTACAGTTAGCTGTACGTTTCTATTTTTGAGAAGTTAGCATACAATTCCTATACATTAATCATTACAGTGAATAAATGCTTACATATACTTTTAGACGAACTTATTTATATATGCTATTCCAAGTTTCATTTGGAAAATAAAGTATTTTAAAGTGAAAATATGGATTATAGCTCACGTTGAACTAAAATTCATTTTTCATAATTCTGCGAAATTATGTTTTCATTTGATTTAATCCGAATAGGAATCATTACCATAACTTCAGAATTTTATAATAATTTCAATGAACGAAGTATTTAAATATAAGTGAAAACAAGCATGATGACTCTTATTAGAATTATGTTACAATATAAATGGAAAATATGACAATAAATGACATTAAAACCAGAATAATGCATGTACAAAATCATAATTCACACTCAAACGTATTTAAGAGTCCACCAGCTCTAGATGCTGACATTATACAAGGCTTGCCACAAAATTTAAAATTTGTTGATGGTGTCATTTGAACGTAAATACAAAATTAGTTTTAAATAGAATGTCAATGCCTTCTGGCATATTTGGGCATGCTATTAAGTTTACTGCTTAATATGAATGAACTTAATCCACTAAATGAGCTTATTTGCTGGTCCAAGAGATTCCTTTCTTCCCTGAAAATAATTTCTTATTAAATACATCCATTATATTAGGCACGTCAAATACCAAGAGCCATATAGAAAGTTTCAATTAAAAAAGCGCCAGAAATTTTTTTTCTTTCAAATAGGTAATCCTATAATTTTATTCCATAGAGGTCTTTTGCTTTTAGTTTCTGTAAAATGCAGTATAAATACATATAGGAATATGTAAATTTCTCTTGATGCAAATATAGAATAGATAGTCTATTGTGCTTGCTTCTTAATGAAAAAAGTAACAAATAATGTACATAAAAATTAAAAAGAACAACTATAGGAGAATTAGTCTGTCTTTCCTTATGAACAAGTACATCCCTTCATAATAACTATTGTTGTTCATAATAACTATGTTATTGTAAAGATGTTGTTCTTAATTCATGATCGCTATAGTCTGTGGAAGGTCTTTTGATTACCTTGAAGCAATTTTCCTCACTTACAAAAGTTTAAAAAAAAAAAAAAAAAATCTATGTTCATCTACATGCATATATATGATTAGTGTCATGCTTTAGATTAGATCATAAAGGCATCACACTACAAACCATCTTTCTCTCGAATATTGCTAGTATGTGCATTCAATCAATGCAATTCAATCTCA